GTGCTCTCTAAAAATCAGATTACAAATCGAAAAAAGCAACTAGCACTTTAGATTGTACTCCGCCATTGCGCTGTCCCTGTCTATCAAATCATTTTCATAGGTCATCACGCGCTTAGTGCTGTGGGCAAGCTGAAACGAACCGTTTTTAAACCATAAACTGAACACCTTAAACAAGGGCTTTGGCAGCTTCGGGCCGATAATTCCGTGGTTTCCATTCTTGCCATTGTTCTTGTATCCACTCAAATGCACTGGCCGGAGTTGGAGGATTACCCGCAACGACTGATCAAAATCTAAAAGGATTTACGTAATTAGGGGCCATTTTGAACCTTGCCAAGAGCGTGCGCGTCCAAAAAATCGTAGCATATTGAGGTTTCTACGACGGATCGTGTAATCGTCGGCTACTTCACATAACCTAAAACGAATTTATTGGTATTTTTTAAATGAGAACTTTAAAAAACAAGAAATTCCGGAGCGCTTGGCTCAAAGTCCGATTTCCGTTCCGTTTACACCTATGGACAGAAATTGTAGGTTGTTGTTTGTCGTACTCAAAGATCCCAAATTGGCCATTTATAAAATTGGCCTTTATAAAATTTTCCATGCTTTTTTTAGATTTTCAACTCTCAGACCCCGGCCACCACCTCGAAATCTGCATCAACACGAAAGACAAGTGGGGGCGCCGGTGTTCTTTCAAAAGATACAAAAGGCCCGCGACCCCGCGCCCAAATATTGTTGGTGGTGGGGGGGCGCTACTTGATCCAGTTCGACGAGACTCTGCCGGGGGAGAGTTGTCGGCAGGCAAACAAGCATCAATACCTTGCCACATACCGTCCCCTTGATTGTGTATAGGGGTACACTTTAGCTGCAGTGGAGAAGGAAAGCCACCTTTCACCGCCCTTTCGCCGGGCAGCCAGCCGTTGCGGTACTTTTACCATGACGGGAAAGTTTTTTTGTACTTACAAAAGGGCTTGTTGGTGGGACCTGCAGGCTTTTGGGGCCGTTTTTGAGTTTTCTATCGTTACCACGGTTCTTTGTCATTATCGGGGACCCAATTTGTTTTTGGAAGTCTATAAATGTCTAGTAACTTAATTGGAGGTATTTTGCTAGTGTTTTTGATGCAATCTAACTATATTTCAACTAGAAAAACGGTTTTAAAACTTTTAAAACATTTTAAAGTCGAATTTTGCCTAAAATTGCTCAATTTTGGACACAACTTCTATATTTTTGCCATTTTTTAATAAGACATTGTAGATTTTTACGGTGTGGTATAATAAAAAATGGGTTAAAAACACCTCCGCTATTTATATTAGAAAAATCGAATCCTAAGAAAAAAAAATGTTGTTCCCCCGATAATGGGAAAGAGCCGTTATCGCACCGGAATCTCGCAGATTCTAGCCCGAAGCTTAAAGTTTGCGGGCGTGTATCGAGATCCAAAGAATTAATATTTGCCGATGCCTTAATCAACCCTCTCCAGCTGTTACATCTTGAGTCAATACCTGTTCGCCAAATTCTATTCCCCTTTACTCAGCTGTTGGCTTGTCCTCCTTTCGCCCGCCCCCCTCTTGCAAACTCAGCGCGATGATAAGCCGTTCGTTGACTCAGCGCCATGTTCCAGGATTTTCATTCGGTAAGCGTCGTGGGAGCACGTGCATTTTTGGGATTTCTTTCAATTTCTAGGTTATTTTCTTGCCTTTTTATTACCAAGAAATTCTACAGGATCCACCGCTCGGTACTGGACGCTTATTAACTTTTCCGGGGAATAACATATATATAATATAACAATCTTTATAACATCAAAATAACATCTATAACAAAATATAAACCATCTTTATAGCATTTTACACAAATTTAGATTTTAGTGTAGAGTTTTCAGATTTTAGCTTAAAGAATTAGATTAGACCAATGAAAGCGTGAACTTTGCATAATCGGCCCGTCCGACGCTGAAAAAAAGTGAAAAATGCACTCTCTGCTCCTTTATATAGGCTACCGCAACTTCCGGCGTATGCTAATTGTTTCCTAACAAAGAGGCTGGCCGAATTTTCAACAAAAACTTAATTTTAACGTCGAAAACATATAATTTTTCAAAATTTTATGAGCGTGCAGTCATCCCCAGACCATTACGCTCCTAATGACGTATCAAACATGCCCCTAACTATCCTCCTACTTGAGATACTACTGGAACAACCTGACGGAAGTTGCATGCAAAGTGGCACACACACACACACACAGACACTATTTTTTTATATATAGTAGGATAGCTTTTAGATTATAAACATCCAAATTTTCGATGTAGGTTTTGGGCAAATGTAGGAAAAACGACCAAAACGAGCTTTTAGCAAACAAAAACTAGTAAAAACAGTCTAAAATGCCCTATTCATTATTACCAGATTAATAAAATTGGCTTCCACCCCTGCTAACAGTCGAGTACCCACCGATCCGTATTCGATCTCGAATACACAACCAAAACGTACAGTCATCGACTTCGAAGCCTCGGCAAACAGGGCAATCACTTTTTTCTCCCAAGGAACTGGGAGCGGTAAATAGAGGAAGTTTACGAAACACGGGTCTGCTTTTTTTGTTTTTTAAAAATGGCAATTAGCTAAGTGGGTGAAAAGGCAATAATTTTGCGCCGGTAAAAGTGAGCACGTCGTATAGACGACTAGCTTCGCACTCTTGGCATTAATCCAAAAGCCTTGTTTCTTTTGGTGAATTCGGTACTGGACTGTTAGCGAGGCCGAGACTTTTTTCCACCGTAATCCGGTATTGCCATCTAGCAAAGAAAAACCATTGTCATGGAATTTTCCACAACTTCTGAATACAAAAAAATAAAAATTGAAAACTTTCGAAAACTTTTGATATATTTGGTAAAAAATGGTTGAAAAACGACCAAAAAGGTCAAAATTTCAAAATTATAAAAATCATAAAATACTGTTGATAACTTTTTAGCAATCAATCAACTACTAAAAACACTATAAAAATAAATTATATAATATCAACAGGTTTGTTATAACCAGAAAATTCAAAAATTAGTTTCCCCTGTTAAAATCCCCCTACTAACAGACCAGTACCGGAAATTCTCGTAGCGTAGCGTAGTGGGGCATCTAGGATCACACTGTTTCCTTGTACTTTTTATTTTTCGTTTCTATGCGCATATCGTTTTATTCAGCTCTTGAATTCACTCCTATTTCGGCACTACGCTTCAGGTTTATTATGTTTTTTGTTTATAGTTCACCTCCCCTCCCCCTATATTCCAACCCATGATCCAGGGCATTCGCCCGGTGATTCAGCTCGAAAATTGTGTACAAAACGGGCCCCGTTGTCCACCACCACCCAGGCGCTCAATTTCCCCTCGTTTTGCTCGTTTCCCCGGCAATACCCGTTCGTGAATATTCAATTCCCATCAAATTTCAGGCCCATCTTTCGGCAAGAAACACGTTCACCGCACGTCATTTGACTCACGCTCTGCCCAGCGGGAAATATTGTTGGAACTGCGAAAACATGGTCGGTTCTTATTTCCAGGCGAAATAAGGTCATTTCGACAAACTCTAGAGCAACTTTTGGCTTTTCAGAAAGTGGAAAATTCGCGTTTCTATCTGGACGAGACCGAGATGTCGTCGGAGGAGCAGGAAAAGGTAAGGAGAAAGGTTCTTTTTGGCTGAACTCCAGATACCCCCCCAGCCGACCCCCACCTACCGGATCTCAGCTCCCTGTTCATGTACAGGTGTGTAAAGTATACCAAAATACTCGCCGGAGCAACACGAACATTTTGGTATACTTTACACACCTGTAGATGAGCAGGGAGCCGTAGGGGGGTATCTGGAGTCTTACCGCGTCTTTCGCATTATCGGGGACCGACGCAAAATTTTTTATTAGCGTAAAAATGCCTGGTAGCGTAATAGGAAGTATTTTATTGGTATTTTTGGTAACATAGACCTATATTTCACCTAGAAAAGCCATCTAAAAACACTAAAAACATGTTAAGTAGACATTTTGGCCAAAAATCGGCCATTTTTGGTCGAAACATCTAAATTTGTATTTTTTTTGGGTAAAAATTTGTAAAGTTTTGTATTTAGGAATGGTGGAAAACAGTTTAGAAACACTTCCGGTTTATATTTCAAAAATTGGATCCTAGGCAAAAGCTGGTTCCCCGGAAAATGCGAAAGAAATTAGATCGAACAATTTTTATGCGCATTCAGGGTCCGATGAAGCATTTCCGGAGGCTCTCCGATTTTCTGCACAACTACAATAAAGCCGAGTGTGCGTCTTGCGCCAAGGTTCGAGCAGTTTTGAGTTTTCTCTAGCTTTGATTTTCCAGGTGCAGCTCGAAAACGAGCGGCTGGAGACGGTGCTGCAAATGAAGATGGCCGAGTATCATTTGATGGAAAAGGCGATGAATCGAGTAAGTTCGCGGGGGTTCGGACTTTTAATCACGGAATTTACAGGTAAAGGAAGCTTATGTCGAGGCGTGCTTGGAAATTTCTGAACTGTGAGTTAATGGCAACGGTTCTTGTGCATTACTGGGGAAGAACCGAATTTTTTTTTGTAAATTGAGAAACGTATAGCAAGTAATAACAATAGTAAGTGTTTTAATAATGTTTTTAGGAACATTTAACGATATTTCAAGTGGAAAAACTATCTCAATGGCATTTAAAAATTGCTAATTGAAGATTTTGATCGAAAAACTAAGATTTTTCGTATTTTTGATAAAAAATCGTAATTTTTCTGGCGTTTAGGGATTGTTAAAAACAGTGAAAAGGTATAACAAAAAGAAGAAAGACGATAATTTCAGAAAACAACAATTGGAGGCAATGAAGAAACAGCAAGATGACTGCGAGTCTTCGAACTCTACCCTGAGCAAATCTTATTCGGAGTCATCTCTTTGAAACTAAAGGCTATGCAGTGCTCCTTTGATCTCATGTGCATTGTAAATAAATTGTATTATATAAAATCATGTTTCAAAATACAAAACTAGAAGCGTATTTTTTATTTATTAGCTTGAATTAGCTCTTCTCGCCGTCCAGCTGGGCCTTTGTGATTCGGACGCGTCCAAAATCCCCGCCATAAATGTCGCCCCGCTGCTTGACCATTTGCTGAAAAATATGGATTGTAATTCGGGATATCTACCTACCACGAATAATTTTCGCGTTTTATAGCGTTTGTCGTTCTTTATTATTAAAAATCGATAAAATATCGAATTTTTGAACATTCTCATGCATCTTTGGCCGGAAAAAGGCATTTTAATGCATTTCTCCGGAAATTGTGATATTTTTTATTAACCATCTGGACAAAAAACCACGTAAAAAGCTATCCAACTGATATGCCAAATTTCCCACGGGGCGATAGGTTAAATCCCCCCGCTAACACGCCAGAACCCCCTTTACTGACCTGTATTGATCGAACGGTCAAGTTGTTCATCGTGTCCTCGGCCATTTGCTCGTCCTGATTTGTTGAGTTGAATAACTTGTAAAAAAAAGTGAAAATACCTGTTGACTCTGTGTTAGTGGCGGCGGCCCGGGCGAGGAGGCTTTTGGGGAGCTCACTTCCGGCGTTCGGGCCGACTGGTCTGTTTTGGGTGCGGGATCTTTCTAGAATCTAGCTTTGCTAGATGCGAAAAAATTCTACAGTATTCCTAAGCCTGGACAGGTTACAAAATTTATTAAAAAAAACAGAAAAAAGCCGATATTTTGACGAAAAATGCGGATTTTTAGCTAGGTTTCAAATTTTTATAGTTTTCTAACTTTTCTAGATAGTTTTCCACTAGAAAATAGCCACATTTGTTCAAAAAAAACACCATTGTCACTCTCACTCTTGCATCACGGAAAAAAACTACATTTCCCATACCCCCCGATATTGCCAAAGTCCCAGCAAAGAGGTACCTCAAATACAACCCACCGTGCACCAAAACCTAAAGCATGCTGACAAGAAATCCATAGCGTAATCGTAGGTGAATTTGCGTAGTATTAGCTGACCGCATCGGCTGTTGTGACGGGCCGTGCGGGCAGAGTACAGTCGCGTAGTTCTCTATTTCGGTCGGCCATCGACCGCGCGAGGGTCACACCTGTTTCTCACTCGCTCTCTCACTTTTATAATCTCCTCTCTATCGTTTATCGCTTCTCGCCAAGGCCGTGAGAGCTCAACATTTTTTGCGCGTCATTCAAGAGAACTGGTTATGGGAATTGATCGATTTATACAGGGGAGGTAATAGGGTAAAAGCACGTATTTTTGGCTAACAGGCGAAATTGGCTGTTTTGCTTGTTTGTTCGTGGCGGGGCTGAGTCAGCTTGGCCTTTGTCACCGACGGTCGACCAAAGCGTCCACAGTAATGGTCGGGCCCGAAACGAACGGGCGGCTGCAAATTTTTGGGTTGAATTTGAGGAATAATTAAGAGAACGGGAAGTTTAACTTTTAACGAGGTGTCAAACCACAAATTTTTTAGTGGGGAGCAAAGAAATTTTTCAGGGTTATTCGTAAAGAGAGAGAGAGAGAGAGAGAGAGAGAGAGAGAGGGGGGGGGGAGGGGGAGGGAGAGAGAGCTATTGAGAGAGTGAGAGCAGCTATTGAGAGAGTGAGAGAGTGAGGGTGAGAGAAAGTGTGAGAGCGTGAGAGAGAGTCAGAGAGCGTGAGAGCAAGAGCGAGTGAGAGAGTCATCGAGAGAGAGGAGCTAGTGAGTGAGATTGTGAAAGTGAGAGAGAGAAGGATGGAGCGTGAGAGAGAGAGAGTGAGAGAGCGTGAGAGAGTGAGAGAGAGGAGCTATTGAGAGGGAGAGAGTGAGGAGAGAGCGTGAGAGAGTGAGAGAGTGTGAGGGTGAGTGCGAGCTACAGGGTGAGGCATATACAGGGTGTCCCAAAAAAAAGACCCCCCCAAAAATTTGAGCCAGAGGGCACCTACGGAGCTGAAAATTTGCGCAGAGGTAGCGAAGGTAATTTTCTATGAACAAGGAAAGTTTCAGCCCAATCGGCCAGCGGGTTTTAAGGTTATATCGAAAATACTTTTCATTTTTAATTTAATATGGGGTTCTTTGCAATTTGCATCAAAGATATGCGTTATTCTTGCATTTACAAGCCGATTTTGCATAAATTTCGCTGAAAAGTGCCATTTTCTTGATGGAGCTATTGGAAAACGATTGATCATGTAGCGAGGAAATGATCAGCAAGGACGATGAATTCCAGACCTCATGGCGGAAACTATCGTTGAACGCTTGAGCTTGGCTTAAACTTCAGCGTACGCGCCAACAAAAGCCCAAATCTAAACTTCGACACTGTTTTCGAGATTGTCGAACTCTGTTTTCGGGCCGACGAAGCTCAAATTGCCAAAATGTACAATAAGACGGGATTTGGATCGATAAAACAGTTGTTTTAACACTCTTTTTATTCTTCATACGCAATCGTTTTCCAAAAGCTCCCTCAACAAAAATGGCACTTTTCAGCGAAATTTATGCAAAATCGGCTTGTAAATGCCAGAATAACGCATATCTTTGATGCAAATTGCAAAGATCCCCATATTAAATTAAAATGAAAAGTATTTTCGCTATAACTTTAAAACCCGCTGGCCGATCGGGCTGAAACTTTCCTTGTTCATAGAAAATTACCTTCGCTACCTCTGCGCAAATTTTCAGCTCCGTAGGTGCCCTCTGGCTCAAATTTTTGGGGGGTCTTTTTTTTTGGGACACCCTGTATATGGCAACACCCCCAGACCATAATAATTTGCCTGCTATCGGAAAACTAATTATTTTTTCGGGGTTTTGGGCGTTTCCCATACAAGAACTTGTGTTTCTTTATGCAGGAGACAAATGAAAACGGTTGCAAATTTTTTAATTTTTGATTTATAGTAGCGGGAAGTTTAGCGATTTCGTCGAAAAAGCGGTGTGTTGGCACGCTGCGCATAGAACCCCGGATATTGATAGCTCTGCTCGAGGGTTTGGTATTTAAGTTTACTTCGATCTTATTTATTTTTACCAAAAGTCTTCGAGGGAATTTTGCTATATTCAAAAAATGCGCGCTTACCCACCCCTCACCACGCTTCTGTTGGCCAATAAAAATTAATTATCAAATGCCTGCCAATTGCATTGTCTTATTTAAGCATTTTTTTTACGTTTCGGGCATGTGATTGAACCAATTCCGTTTGCTGAAACCAAGCAATTCAACGGTTAAAGATAAAAAAGGCAATTTTACTTTTTTTACTATGATTTTTGGGACCAGCCAAGAGCGATTCTAAAATTTCTGCCTACTTAAAGGAAGTTAATTGTTTTAAATACCTTTATCTGTCAATACTAGGTAGTATACATATTTTTAGGGGTCATTCGTGCCCAAAACGACGTTTCTGAACCATGCTGAAATTGGCTTCCAAGGGGTTGCGTGCCAGCACCATCCTTACGACACCCAGTTTTGCTTCAGAACAAAAGTTTTTAGGGTTGCTGCGTTCTAATATTTTAAGAGTGGTTACAGGACACTGGTGGCTATATTTCAGCAAATTATTGAAGCCCAACCAGCTTTCTTCATTTTTTGAGAGAGCCGGGAAAGTGTTGCCATATATATATATGCCTCACCCTGTAGAGAGATAGAGTCAGAGAGAGGGAGCGAGGAAGAGCGAGAACGAGTTAGAGAGAGCGAGAGAGCTAGGGAAAAAGCGAGAGAGAGAGAGAGCTATTGAGACAGAGCGAGTGTAAAAGCCATCGAGATAGAGATAGAGACAGAGTCAGAGAGAGAGCGGGTGAGAGCGCGAGCGAGTGAGAGAGAGAGCTATTGAGAGAGCGTGAGCGAGAGAAGGAGAGAGCTATTGAGAGCTATAAAATGTACAAAATGTTGATAATATTTTTCCCTACCAACCCGGAAGCAGGAAAACTTCAAATTTTCGACAAATTAACAAACCCTTGTGCTGATGGGTGGCGGCGGCTTGATCTTGGGCTCAGGGAAATTTTTCTCAGTTTTACCGGGTGGTGTCGGATCCTTCTAAAAAGCCTTCTTCGAACCTGCATTTTGCAATAGCTATTAGGTTGGTCGGAAAGTAGCAAGAACTTTTTTCGCAATTTTCCATAGATATTCTCGAAGTCAATCCAAAGCCTAATAGTGGCTTAACTATTTTATGTGTAACCTCCTTACCTTATTTACGAATGCAATGAAACGGGATACTACCCCCCTTACAAAATAGATATGATTGATTTAGCGAAATTTGCGTAAAAAATCCATGTCTACGCGTTCACAGTACCGAATACGGCGCTTTCCTGTGAACTTATGTGCGACATCATTTCGCATCTATACTGACACTAAACAACCAAAAAAAATCCCATGGCAAACTGAGAAGCAACACCCGATTATCAAAAGTCCTCGGGGTCAAAATTTTCTGGCCCATGCAAAGAACGCCAAAAACAAAATTATTGGCTTTGTTTGGATTGGGCAAAAATTTTTCCTTTCTGTACTGAATATACCACTAACCTTGACGCATTTGAGAATATAAATATTGGCTACGCGGAGCCGCTCGTTTTTGGAAAAGAATTCGCTAAAGCTACATTCTAGCTACTTTCCGACCAACCTAATAGTTTTTATCAACCTATTTGCTCACCTTACAACAAAACCGATAGCATGTGGCTAGGAAGTCGCCGGAGGGCATTGTGTTGGGGGAGGGGTGGGCTCGTTGAGCACTGCCTCGGATATATACTTGAGACTAATTTCTTGACTCCTTGACGTCTAGGCCGGTCCCGGCAAAGCCCAGCGACGTCAGAACACGAAGGAGATACGATGTGTACGCGGTTGCTTTGAGTGCTATTGGAGTTCCCCTCTCCCCCCCCCACCCCCGATTCCTATGTGGGGATCGCTTGTCTTTGATTTTTGTCTTTGGAACCTTTGGGGTGGGTGAGAGGGGGGAGCATTGGATCAAAGTGACGTGATGCTAGACTCCAATAGCACAGATGCCTTTGTTAATTAAATAAAGCGCATAAAACCAGCTTGAAAAACTGCTTCACGGCTAACGAAATGCGGCTAAATCATGTTAAAAGGCCGTTTGCGACATGTTTAAAAACTATAAGTGACCGCCGCCCCGAGTCAACCGTTAAATACCGTATCTCGGCTCCCCCCTGGTAGCACATAGCTGTAAAGTATCCCAAAATACTCGCCAAAGCAAGACGAACATTTTGGTATACTTTACAACCCTGCAGAACAAAATTGAGCCGAAATACAGTAGCCGGGAAAGGTCAACTGCACCTACTTTTCGGCACTGTTCGGTTTCATGTTTTCGGACAAATTTTGGCACTTTAACCTTACCAAGTCGTTTTCCCAGAGAAGTTTTTTAAAAATTCAACTTTTTTTAGCAATTAGCATACACATTAGCCTAAAAACCTAGCAAGCAGGCGTAAACAAAAGCTCATCATTCCTCACCCAGCCTTTCGAGATGTCGGCCCTCGTCATGTCCCCCTCCAAACATGACCCTGTCTCTGATGTACCTTCTTTCGTTTTCATATTTAACTTTTTTCTCTTTCATTTTAGGACGTGCACTTCTGCGGGGTGTGCTGGGAGCAGAAGACGAACAGCTATGAGATGGAGGTAACTTGCAAGGGTTTCCGCTAATTCCTTTTTCTTCCAGACGCTGCCCTGCCGGCACAGCTTCTGCTCGATGTGCATCTCCCACTGTAACAGTGTGTTTTTATTCTCACCTAACTTTATAGATGCTCTTTACTTTTATTTTTTTAATGAAAACCAGGGTTGAAAAGCCGCTTCGCGACTTTTCAACCCTGGCCCCGTCCAAGCCCATCATATTCTTCACTCTGCATACGTCTTTCGATTTCCGATGAGAAAAATGAAAAATTCCACGCTCTCGGGTTATATATATAAGCCGCCGCAACTTCCGGCAGATGCTAATTATTTCCTAACAAAGCAGGCTGCCCGATTTTTCAACAAAAACTTAAATTTAATGTCGAAAACAGCTGAATTTGTAAAAACTGATATTAGTGCAGTCAACTCCAGACCATTACGCATCTAATGACGTATCAAACATACCTTAAAAACCTTCCCTTTCCGAGATATCCTCCGGACAGAATGACGGAAGTTGCATGCAAAGTGGCACGGACACACACAGACACGATTTTTTTATATATAGTAGGATTTCGCTTTCAGACGCGACCTGCCCGTTGCCAGGGTGTACTGCTAGCCGTCGGACTGCCATTGTCATCGACCACGGTTTTATGGTTAATAAACTTTTTTTATTGTTTTTAGGCATCGAAGACGTGCCGCTGGAGATCAACGGCAACGTGCCGTCGATCCTTGATTGTGAGGAAAAGTTTCCGTGGGTTTTTCAAATCGTTGGGTTGTAAAAAATCAGGATATTGTAATTCCGCTTCCTTTTTCAGGTGCCAAGCCCGCCGCGGCCGTAACCGTTGCCCCGGGGTGGCTCGAATGGTCATGCAGGATTGTCGGTATGACGTCTAGCAGTTCGGCTTACCTTCCTAAACCGATTTTTCTCGAACTTTCGCCTCGCCAGCAGTTCTGACTTGGCTAGGATAAAATGCCACTTGCTTTTTTTAGGGTTTTTAGTAGTATTTTTTTTGCTAGAAATCCATCAAAAATATTCACAAAAATTTGAAAATTCGGAATTTTTAGGTTTTTGCGACATTTTTGGATAGATTTTTGAGCAAAAAGTCCAATATTTTCGACATTTTTATAGTTCCACTAGTTTTTTGGTATCTAAGAACTCTTTAAAAATTCTAATAAAAATAGTTCATATCAACTATAATAATTTTGTTGTGGTCTCCGTCTGTCTGTGTGAAGCCGAATTCAACTCGAAGGGGAAAGGAGCTAGAGCTTAGCTCTCTTCGGATTCGGATAGAGCGTGGTCAGAAACCCCCAAACTGATTAAAAAATTATAAAAAAGTTTTGATTTAAATTATTAAAATTAACTTTGAAAGTGGCGCCTTAATAAAACGAGTGGGGCCCCTCTCCTGGGGAGGCCACGCCCCTTTCTTCTTCGCCCTCTTCCCCAGGCCCCTTCGCGCGCCCAGATGCCTTTTTGAGTTACTTTAATACTTTTAATACTTTTTAATTATGTTAATTAATTATTTAAATTATTTAAAGTATCTAAAGCCATCAGGAAGGTATTGAGGTAGTTTTTGAAGGGATTTCAGCCATGGGGGTATCTGAAGCCATCGGAAGGTATTTAGGTAGTTTTGGAAGGGATTTCAGCCATAGGGGTATCTGAAGCCATCGGGAAGGGATTTAGGTAGTTTTTGAAGGGATTTCAGCCATGGGGGGTATCTGAAGCCATCAGGAAGGTATTTAGGTAGTTTTGAAGGGATTTCAGCCATGGGGGTATCTGAAGCCATCGGGAAGGGATTTAGGTAGTTTTTTGAAGGGGATTTCAGCCATAGGGGGTATCTGGAAGTCATCGGGAAGGGATTTAGGTAGTTTTTGAAGGGGATTTCAGCCATGGGGGGTATCTGAAGCCATCAGGAAGGTATTTAGGTAGTTTTTGAAGGGATTTCAGCCATGGGGGTATCTTAAGCCATCGGGAAGGGATTTAGGTAGTTTTTGAAGGGGATTTCAGCCATGGGGGTATCTGAAGCCATCAGGAAGGTATCTAGGTAGTTTTTGGAAGGGATTTCAGCCATAGGGGGTATCTGAGCCATCGGGAAGGGATTTAGGTAGTTTTTGAAGGGATTTCAGCCATGGGGGTATCTGAAGCCATCAGGAAGGTATTTAGGTAGTTTTTGAAGGGGATTTCAGCCATGGGGGGTATCTGAAGCCATCGGGAAGGGATTTAGGTAGTTTTTGAAGGGGATTTCAGCCATGGGGGGTATCTGAAGCCATCAGGAAGGTATCTAGGTAGTTTTTGAAGGGGATTTCAGCCATGGGGGGTATCTGAAGCCATCAGGAAGGTATCTAGGTAGTTTTTGAACGGGATTTCGGCTATGGGGGGTATTGATGGAGAGTGGGAAAGATGTGGTAGAGTGGGACATGTAGGGTAGCCCGAAGCCCAGATGGTTGCAGTCGCGAAGCGACTGTAACCATCTGGTTTCTTTATAGGGAATAGTAGGTGAATTTGACCTCCCCGAGGGACTTTTTTCCAGCCACCGCATCTGCTTCGACTGCCTGGGCTGCCGGGTTCAGTATGCCATCAAGAACAGTACGTTTTTGGAACACTTTACGGAATTCTCGTTGCAGAGGAGATGCCGAACTGTGCCCACCCCCGCTGCGCCAACAAGCTCACCAAGCCCGAGATTCTGCGTGTGGCGGAAATGGTCGGCTTTTACCCCCCAATTATGATCTGGTTTCAGTTCCCCAAGATCCGCGCCGACTGCATGAAGGTGATCAGCCAGATGCCAAAGTGCGAGGAGGACATCTACACGGTAATTTTTCGATACTTGGCTCCCTGTTTTTTTACATATGTGTAAAGTATACCAAAATGCTCGCCAGAGCAAGACGAACATTTTGGTGTACTTTACACAACTGTAGATGAACAGGCAGCCGAGATAGGAAAGTTGGAGACTGGCTGATGGGGGGATCTGGAGACTTACCTATCTTCCCCCCGCCCCCGTTTTGCTACAATGCCGCCAAGTATACCAAAATACTCGCCAGAGCAAGGCAAACATTTTTGTATATTTTACGTACTTGTAGACGAACAGGGAGCCGAGATACTGCCGGCTGAACTGGGCTAATTTTTGAGTAATCGGAAGCTCTTGAAAACTACAAAAGCAAATTTATGGTTTATTACAATCTAGGGTAAGCAGAAAAAAAGCTATCCCCTAGCTAACGAATCATAACCGCCATTTTCAGCGCAAGGAAGAGCTTTCGGTGGCGTGCTCGGTGCAGGGCCGTCCCCACATCGCCCGCCGTTTTTGCTTGCCGCCCGCTGCACCATGAGTACATCCGCTTCGCTTCGGCGTACCCCTAAATATTCTCAGCTGACCTCGTCAACGGCGTCTTCCAGCTTCAGCGCATGACTCGGCAGCGTGACTCGACGGCCGTCTACCTGATGACGGAGAAGGAGAATGGTATAACCTGAATACTTTGAGTCTTCCCGATTTTTGGGGTATAATTTGTTTCCGAAAAGTCCAGAATCGCTAGTAATCAAATAGTACCTATTTGACAGTGTTTTCAGCAAAAAGTAACTATATTTAACGCGAAAAACTATTTTTTTAACTTAGAAAAATTTCGTTCAAAAAAATTTCGCCATTTTTGGTCAAAAAAATTTTGTTATTTTGTTATAAAAATTGCAAAATTACGTTTATAATTGTAAAAAAAACAGTTTATAAAGCTTGAAATAATTGATAGTTATGAGTCTTACTCAGAAATATGGGCCCCCGATAATGCGAAAAAACCATTGAATTCAGAAAGGGCCAAGTATCAGCCGGTTGATCTGCACACCTGCGCCAAGAAGCCCATCAAGGTATCGAAGCCCATTTAATAATCCCAAAAACCATCAAAAAAAACAATACAAAAAACAACAATTTTCCCAGGAGATGACCCTACCGGACAAGGTGCACCTGGTCATCGACGTCGACAATTTGCTGTCGAAGCGCCGCTGATCCGTCGCCCCCGACTCTTTTGAAAACCGCTTAAAACTTGTGATACGAGTGTTGTGATCTATTGTCTTATTCGAATCGGTTGATACGCTGTACTTGGCACTGAATAAACGAATTTTTACGCCGAAAATAAAGCCGTATTTATGGCTCACAGCCGGGCGTTGATTTTGATAGATCACTTCCACCGGGCTGGTCATTTGCTCTAGTTTCTGCTTTTTGAAGAGGGGAGGGAGAAGGGATATGAAAATATTGGGGAGAGAGAGAGAGAGAGAGAGAGAGAGAGAGAGAGAGAGAGATCACGGGAGATTGATTTAGGGCCAGACCGAAGACAACCCAGAGATTGTGACGCAGTGGATCGCGCTCTCCATTGCCTGTGCAAAGCAGATAGTGCGAAAACCGCGACCAATTGTCCATTAAAAGTCCAGAGACATCAGAATCCTGTCTATAAATTGCTTTGCTCTATCTATCGCTTCTGTTTAATCTTTTGGTCTCGTGCTAGTTGCCCGAGATTACGTGGGGGTCCAAATTACGTGCTCGCCCTTATCTCTCACTTCCCCCCGACCTCCCATTCAAACTCGGCGAAAGTGTAAGGCCCATTGGACATTCCCCTTTACTTTGTTTCAAAGTATTTAATAAATTAAATCGATAATAATAAGCTTAGAAACCGTAATATTTATTTAACTTGTTAAATGTTGTTCTTTTAAACTTTTTCATTCCTAAAAATCCGTGTCAACGATTGTGCCATGACTACAATCGAAAACTGTCGCTTGGCGTGTGGCGTAATTGTATAAAACAAATCAGTATGAATGCTTCTTAACGTTTATAAAGGCTTTTTAATGTTTTTATTGTCCTGGTAAATTCTTGCTCAATTTCTGTTTGCTCAAAGTTTTTGAATTGATCACCATAGAAACTTTCCAGAAAAAGGATGGGCCGATTAATCAGCGCGCAAGAGGTGGCCGAGCACAAAACCGAGGATTCTTGTTGGTTTATATACAAGGTTTGTGTTTAAATTGATTTTTGAAATCAAAGTATTTAGGGTAAAGTCTACGACGTCACCAATTTCCTCAACGAACACCCAGGAGGCGGTGACGCGATTGTGGCCGAGGCTGGGACGGTCGGCTTTTAAAATATAGTTTTTGTTAAGCTATAGGATAGAATAGTTTTCTATAGTTTTTGAAGCTATAGAAAGTTAATATATAGTTTTGTTTTAATCTATAGAAAGGTTATCCTTTTTAGGACGCGACCGTGGCCTTCAACGATGTCGGCCATTCGGCTGATGCGATCGAAATGATGCAAGATTATTACGTAAGGTCAAACTGCCCTCATAACGCTCTGTTTAGATCGGAGATCTCAAAAAAGAAGAAGCCTTCGTCGCGCCAACCCAACCGAATAAAACCCCAGCGCCGGCGCAAAGTAAACGAGTAAACTTGGTGAGTTTTTAGTCCTAATCTCTACAGGGTGTGCAAAAAAAAAAGCCCACAGTTTGGGTCGAAATAACTCGCGAACGGTAGAGAATCGAAGGTACGTTACCATGCCAGAATGCTTAAATATGCTGGGTATGAAGATTTAACACAACTTCATTTTTTCGATTTTTGGCGACGTATCAATACAAATGACACCCGAAAACTGTGCGTTCGGGGAAGTTTAATTTGTATTTTTCTCAGTTTTCTGTGGTGGCTGGCATCTAATTTTTATTAAGTAAGTTAATATAGGCAGCAGATATATACCTACAAAATTTAAGAATTTTTGAGGGTCTGGTTGAAAAGTTATAGAGGAATGAAATTTTGTATGGGAAAATTTCGTAAATTTTTAATATTGGAAAAACCTATGGCGATAACCTCAAAATCAGTTGTTGTGGAATATCTACAGGCTTGACACAATCGCATAAACATATTAAAGAATTTTTTGAGATCGATGAATATTCGAGTTTTTCAACGACCCCCTGCTCATAGATTTTTCGAGGTCACGAAACCGAACTTTAGAAAAATATTTTTAAATTGCCAAAGGGGACTCAGCTATTTTCTTTGCTTAACTATGTAATAATGGGGCTTATCTATCATCTACAAAATTTCGAGCTACCGTACCCCTTTGTAGGGGCGTCTTTTAGGGCCCCCAAAACGGTTGGTTCGTGCTTTTTTCCGAATCTTGTCACCATTTTATAAAATTTAGTCGCGCTGTGAAAATTATCTTTTATTTTTATCTGATACTAGTTAAATAGCGCATCCTAAACCCTCATTCATGAATTTTTTTAACCAGCCGTTGGCGCCAAGAAAATTCATCAAAACCCGAAATAAACCAATTTGGAGGTTGCGTAAAAAAATTTTGGAAGGTGGAGTCGTAGGGATATTTTGAGCAATAATTCAGTGCTATCAGTTGAATAAAACTATGCAAAGATTAAAGCAATTTCGCGGCGCAAAAATTGTAAGAAGATTTCTAAATTTCGATTTTGGAATAGGGTGATCTTCGATTTTGAGCTGAAAGTCACCATGATCATGAATCAGATTGCCCCCAAATTTGACGGGCGTAGATAATAACATCAAAGCTATAATCGTATCCATAAGACCCAGCTGGTTTTTTTATTTTTAAAAATTCGAAAATTGACTCCGGCTACTCGGACCAAAAATCGGCCTTCTGGCCTTGTTTTGCACTGGGCCTCGTAACTTTGTTATTGACCACCCAAAATCAGTAATTTTTAGCAGGTTGTCTTACAATCACCTGTAGAAGGCCCTCGAATTGAAAAATCGTCACTTTATGGAATTTTGTGATGGCATGCTAAAACGCGCTCCACGGGGGTTACTGTAGAAAACCGAAATTCGCGATTTTCGTGGTGTTTTTGCCATGGAATTGCCTCAATCTTTTCGTAAAACTAATAGTAGCGGTTTTTGGTACAACTGACCAAAAAATTTACAAGATTCTGTGGCGGAATTAAAAACTCAGTTTTTAGGCTTTTTCATGAAAGTTTGTGGATAGTACGCTCTCGTATTTGGCAGTAAGGTGCCCCTACTTATTGCCTAACAACCCAGAAAATTTTAGCCGAATCGAAGCTAGGGGCCCCGAGAAAAGCGGGAAAAACGAAACCTACAGTACCCCCACTGGGGCACGTTTTAGCAAGCAATATAAAAATACCATAGATTGTGGCGGAATTTGGTGTGGAATCCGAGATTAATATTTGGATAGGTCATTGACAAAATATCAGCCATAGGCAGTGAGTTTTAAGCGAGTTATGACTCAAAGAACAAAAATAACGAAAACTCGCGAAAATTGTTTTGCTTTTAAAAAATGAAATTGACCTCGATAAATTCTAAGATTTTGCCATTACATTTCTACAAATTCATACTATTTTTAGGCCAAAAACCAGAATTATCCCACCTCCCGTTCAAGAACGCACAATTTTCGGTCGTAACCAGCGTCAATAGTACAGTTTCGTACTCAAAAATCGAAAAAATCAAGTTGTGTGAAATCTTCATACCCAGCATATTTAAGCATTCTGGCATGGTAACGTACCTTCGATTCTCTACCGTTCGCGAGTTATTTCGACCCAAACTGTGGGCTTTTTTTTTGCACACCCTGTACAAGGTGTCCCAAAAAAAACTCTAGAATTCGGGGAGAGGTGACGGTTTTTTAGGATTTAGGTATCTATCGAAAGCTCTCGAGCGAAACCGGCCGAATTTCTGAAATTTTTTACGCTGTTTCTGGTAGCTCGGCGGCAGCTTTTCGAAAGCCATTTGAGAAAATACAAGAAAGGAAGGATGGCGCTTAAGCCGATTAATTTGAGTGTTTTTTACAAAACACCATGCAATTTTTGCACGAAATATTTCGTAAATTTAGTCAAATCTTCTAGATATCGAAAATCCTTTAGAACAATCTGCTCAGCTCGTCGACAGCTTTCGATAGATACCTAAATCGCAAAAATCCGATACCCCGGACTCTAGAGGGTTTTGTTTTGACGCTCTGTATATTCCTATTGCAGACGATTCCACCGCTCGTCTGGGACATTGTGATCCCGTCGGCCGTCGGTGTGTGCCTCTTCTTCGCCTACAAACGCCTTGCCCAAGCCCAACACGCGTAGTAAAGTGTATACTGTAAACGTAATAAACCGGTAACTTGTACAAGCACGCTTTATCATGTTCATACAAAATTACAAAGTTATCCGACAGTGTGGGGGAGGTGGTGATAGATAGCCAGGTCGGAAAACGGAAAGATACTGCGAACGGGGGAAAATAACTACAAGGCGGTGAGGAAGCAACGATGGAGGTGGAGGGTTTCTGAGATTTACAGTTTTTACTACTTTTCCACAGCTTTTGAAAAAATTTGAAGACTTTAGAAAACGCAAAAACGTCTAAAAACTCTCAAAATCCATCGACCCCTCGGAGAGAGGATGCGCACAATTTGTGGGCCGGAAATGAGTCGAAAAAAATGTTTATCACACGTTTCACTAAGTTCTCAGAAGCAGCGGTGGAATTTTTTTGGTGATTTGGAGGGGGTGGGCTCCGTAGGAAATGAAGTGTGGGGGAGATTCCGTTGATAGGAAAGGGACACCTGTACAACACGACTATAGGCCGGAGGGGGGAGGTGGAAATGGCCGGAGATTTAGTGGGATAGGGCTAGAGCGGAAATGGAAAAAAGGTTAAGTGAGGCATAAACGAGCAGGATTTAGGGTTTTGATAACCTTGTCTAAAAGCCACCTTCATTATGCCCCTCTGGAAGTAGTAATTGGCAAAATTTCAATAGAAAAACAGTCAAATTTCGCTAATATGGAGGATTTTCTGGTGTAGCACCGGCAGTTTGTTTATCGGGGAGTCTTCGAGTGCTGGATGAGCCATTGAAGCGTAATATCTAAAATATTAGCGCTATTTTTTGTATGGCTTTCTGTTATAAAATTCCATTTAGAAACCATGGTTCTTTCGGATTATCGGGGGCAATTTTTCCTATACGCAGAATTGTCTAGTAACGGAATAGTAAGTGTATTAATAGTGATACTAACAAAATTTCACTATTTTTGAAGTGAAAAACAATAAAAAAAACAACTTTTTAGTCGAGATTTTGGCGGAAAAATCAAAAATATTTGTAATTTTCGAACCAAAATTTGCAAAGTTTTTGCGTTGGAATGGTAAAAACCAGCTCACAAACATTTTCCTTATTTGTAGTAGAAGAATTTGATCTTTAGAAAAAATCCCCCCCCCGATAATGCTCAAGAACCGAAATAACTTTGAAAATGATATTTGAGGTGCTTGATATCGTTTAAAAATATTTTTTTGGCAGCTGCTAGCCACTTTTCTATTTTTGAGCATGACTCACCAATATTTTCCTTTTCCTTGCACGAAATCGAGTAGCAGCAGATCTCGCGGTTCTGGATGGCGGCGAGGTTCCTGGAAGGGTTATTGTCAGGAGAAGCGGCGTTGACACTTACATTCTTTCGATGAGTTGAGGCTCGTCGAGGGCCCCGGGAAGGTCCTTCTTGTTGCCGAGCACGAGCACCGGGATCCCGTCGAGCTGGGGCTTGTCGAGGAGTTGCATCAGCTCGTTGCGCGACGCCTAAGTTAGTTTTGTAATTGAGCGAGAGAGAGAGAGAGAGAGCGCGAGAGATTTCATCTTTTCCACCCACCTCAAGCTTATCCTCATCGGCCGCATCGACCATAAATACGATAGCGTTCACGCCTCGGCAGTACCGCTCCCACATCGACCGGAATCGCGGCTGACCTCCGATATCCCACAACTAAAAATGCGCTATTTTTAGCTTTAGTTTTTTAGTCTATGCTGGTGTCGTTTTCCAATATTACGAATACCCACCTTAATCGTCACATTCCCCTTCGTAATCTTTCGCATATTGAAGCCAACCGTCGGGATCATGTCCTCCGTGAATTGACCACTCTAAAATTGCCTTCATTTCCTACGGACCAGGGCTGATGGATACATGATAGTCTCAAATACATTTTTATAGAACCCACCGCGATAACGTTAACAAAGGTCGTCTTGCCGGAATTCTGGAGGCCAACGAGCGTCAACTCCATCTCCTCTTTCCAGAACAGGCTCCGGAACCAGTCCAACACCCGATTCAGCATGGCCAGCATCCTGACGGATTTTCTGTAAAGTTTGTTTTTAGGGGGATAGGTTCTTGCGCGTTATCGAGGGGAGGCGGAACCAACTTTTTTTCTTTGAGCCGTAAATCCAGTCCTGTTATAAGTCCAGAAACGCCTAGTAACGTGATAGGAAGTGCGTGTAAAGTTTTTATCGAAATTTAACTATATGTAGGTGGAAAAACAATACAACAAAAAATTAGAATACATCCGAAATTGGCGATTTTGGATAGAAAAACGAAGAATTTTTACATCTTTTTAAAATGAAAATTCAGACTTTTTTTTCGTTAAGAATAGTAAAAAGCAGCTTAGAAATATTTTGCCTATTGATACTAAAAAAATGGATCCTTAGAAAAAAGTGGATACCGCCTCCACCGATAATGCAAAAGAACCAGGGGATATAAAGAGGCCAGCAAGTCAATAAAAAAGAGAACAAATTCAATCTGGAAAGTTTATTTGTTTTTCGAAATAAGAGTGAAGCCAATAACTATGGCATGAAGAATTGGGGTCGAGGTTTGCACGGGCAGATGCATTCTGATGCGTTTATCTAGAAACGTTGCCCCCGGCTAAAAATTTTCCTTGATATCCAAGAAAACGACGATTAAGCACTAACGAATCATAGATAACTGAAATCTTTTGAAATAGTTATCGGCGGCTAATCAATAAATAGCCCCGTCATCCCGGCCGGAAAGGTGTAACCGATTTCACAACTTTTTCCACTTTGTTTACCCAATTCGGCTAAAACTTATCGATTTAAAATCAAGATCGATACTCCGAAACTAAGGTTTCGTCATACGTTATCAGAGATATTGACCGGAATTAAACCAGTTTCAAAGACAGATACCTACGATATTTACTGGGATAAGGATCTAGGTGAGATTTCCACTATCAGCTCCGACCTCTAGGGCTGAAAATCGAGAACTATCGATGTGTTATGAAGTCATCTTCCACTTTAACACCATTCGATATCATTGAGCAAGAAATAACGGGCTAGAGAGATCGAGAGCGCGCGCAAACAGGTCAGTCAACACGGGGTGACCGGGCATTTTCCAATTGGCTACACGCCGCTACTATCGACGTCGATAGGAGCCGGCGGGTTTGAGCCCGGGAGGTGAGGGTTGGGCTTCCGGCGACCGACGTCATCGGAATACATCAGTTTTGAAGGGGAAAGCGTTTTTTTGGAGAAACGCGGGTCTAGCTTAGCTTTGGCTTGCGGTTGGCTTAAACTTTGCAAGAGCGGCGCAGTTTCCATCGTCAGGAAGTATCTTTATCTTTATACTTATTAACTAGCGAAATTTTGTATGAGGTAAGTGTACACAAAGGAGGGAATACACACAAATTCAATAGTCTTTTCCATCGTTTTTAAGTAAAGAAATCAAAGAAATAAGTAATAAAACCTCCAAAACTCTTCAATTTCGTTCCAAAGTGTATGAAAATTTTCAACATTTAAACTTTGGGAATTCTTTACGAGTTTCTTGTATTGAAAAGCCACTAAATTACAATAAAAATAACTATGAAAGGGCTTAAATTGTTGCCACCCCCCGCTAATAGTCCAGAACCGATTCCGGAATCCAAAGCTTCAGAATAACTTTATTATTCTCCATTCACAGGCGTTATTAGAAAGCAGAGCCCTCCATTGCTTTGCCCGTCATAACATAGCCCCCAGCGGCAAACCCATCAAGCCACCGACCAGTCTACCCCGCCGCAGCCCGGTGAGTAATACCATAACTGGTCGGCCGCCAACTGGACACACCGCTCCAACTCGGCTGCTGTACATTCGACGTGCTGAAAACGAATTCCATCCACGACTCGCTCCTGGGCCCAGATGGCATCGCCCTGGAAGCCGATTGTCGAGGCGCCATCGCTCATTTTCTGTCTCTCGCCAAATGGCCGGGTGGTGGTCCCGGCACGAACGCGAGGGGGCCGCATTTTGGAGTAGGGGTTGAGGCCATTTCGCGTCGTTTTCAAGCGGAATCGCGAGGATTTAGGCATTAGGAAAAACGGTACTGGACCGTTAGGGGGTTAGCAAGGGACCTGATTTTTCCGCCACTACCTGTTGCATTAAATCTATTTTTTATTGTTTTTTTTGAAGGGTTTGGCTGCTAGAAAGTCACAAAAATAATTTAAAATGTTTGGAAATATCGAAAATTAGCCATTTTCGGGAATAAAAATTGAACATTTCACATAAAATTTGGTCCCCCGCTAACAGCCAAGTACCGGAAAAACTCTGAAAATTTTTCTAATGCAACTTTTCATACAAAAAAAAGAAATCATTTTAAAAAAATCATACGTTTTTTTCTCGACTTTTATTTGTTTTGCAATAAAACGTGCAATACCAAGAAAAATATCAATTGTTTAAAAAATTAAATGCGCTGTTTTTTAAAGAGTTTCAAGAGCTTTCGAATGGTATAAAAACCACCCAAATCCGAGTTTCCTCCGAGCCGCTAGAGCTGTTTTTTTGGGACCTCCCCTGACCGCACCCATCACGTAATTTCACCACCTTGCCATCCGTCCTACCGTAACCCCCCTCAAAAAACTACCAAAATTCCGTCGGTCTCCCGGGGGGTGCTTCTCACAGGCCCCGGCGGGGTGTGATGCGGTGTTCCCAATTAGGGCCCAAATAGAGGGGGGACGCTGTGGTGTAGAGGGGGGTGAAGGGACGGCTCCTCGCTCACCCCTTCTCCGTCTCGTCCGTCCTCAGCATCGATTCGGAGCCGCGCCGGGCCCTCTCCACCACCCCATTCAGAGAGCCAGCTCGCCCTCTCCGCATCGAGCACGGCTCTGGCCTCCATATTTTTGCGTTCCTGTTGAGGTTGACGGGCTGGGGTTAAATTGTGTTTTTCGGGGGTATGGAGGAAGCCTGGGCTTGGGCTTGGGCTTAAGCTTAGGCTTAGGCTTGGCTTAGGCTTAAGCACAGGCTTCGATCTCGGCTTAGGCTTAGACTTAGGTTTGGCTTGACTTATGCTTAGGCTTGGCTTGGCTTAGGCTTAGGCTTTCGTTTTTTTGCAGAATTTCAGGAATTTTTGCAACAATGTGCAAATTCCAACAAGCAGAATTTTTGCAAGCTATCCGCCTACCTATTTCCGCGTGTTCCGCGCACCCACCCTGCCCCCAGCGGCAGTTCGCGACAAAAGCGTGCAGGCGATAGAAAAGAGAGAGAGAGAGAGAGAGAGAGAGAGAGAGTGAGAGAGAGAGCGAGCGAGAGAGACCTAGTAAGAGAAAGAGAGTGTTGGTGTGTGTGTGGGGGGCTAGGGATGCGGGAGTTCTAGTTTCCACGTCCTCCCCATCCCCGCCTAGCAGTCTCCCCACCCTCGTGTTCCTGTTTTTCCAGCTGCCCGGTGTGCGGTGCGTCGAATGGTCCACTTCTTCGTCCCTGTGTGTGCCCCTTGTAATTCTGCCACTCAGACAACCATTTCCAATCGATCCGAAATGATTCTAGGAATAGATATTCCGCTTGGGTTCACCGGGGGGTGCACGAGTTCAGTCCGGGGTTGTGGTGTAGATACCGTAGGAGAGGGTTTTGGAATTTTTAGGAATCTTTCTCTCTCTCATTTTAATTGTCACTTTCTCTCTCTCTCGCTCTCGCGATTTCTCTCACTCTCTCACGTACGCTCGCTCTCGCTCTCTCTCACTCCCTTTCTCTCTCTCTCTCACTGCCGCACTCTTTCTTTCTCTCACTTTATACCTCTCTTTTTCACCCCTTACTCACTCTCTCTCCGTCTCTCTCTGTCTCTCCCTCTCTTTCTCACTCACTCACTCACTCACTCACTCACTCCTCTCTCTCTCCCTTTTTTTTTCTCTCTCTCTCTCTCTCTCTCTCTCTCTCTCTCTCTCTCTCTCTTTCTCTCACACTGTCTGTCTCTGTCTCTCTCATCAAAATTTGACCACGCAAAACTTTTCAAAGCTTGTTTCTGCTTAAACTGCGCAATCGACCCCGTTTTTCATATAGTTTTCATTTTTTTGTAGTTTGTAGTCTATGATATCTTTCGCTAATTTACGTCCGTTTACAGGTACTCCCGACATCACTAACCAGCGGCAATGGATGAGGAATACGACGCGATCGTCCTCGGCACCGGCCTCAAGGTACGAATTTCTCAATTTTTGGTGATTTTTAAACTAGAGAGCTTAATCCTAAATCAATCTGACAGCAAAATTATATTTTACCATTTATCCAGGAATGCGTGATCTCCGGCATGCTGTCCGTCTCCGGTAAGAAGGTGCTGCACATGGACCGCAACAACTACTACGGCGGCGAGAGCGCGTCGCTCACCCCGCTCGAGCAACTCTTTGAAAAGTTTCAAGGTTGGTGGGGTAAATGCGGTTTGGTTCTTGGGCATTATCGGGGGGGGGGGGAGAGGGGAGGGGTTGATTTTTTGCGGTTGCGCATAAATACCTAATACCGTGATACCTTATTACGGAAATTTAACCACATTTCAACTCAAAAAATATCCCAAAAACCAACTTGTTTTGAAAGGTTAACCGACGAGTTGAACAAGTTCACGAATTTACTGATAGTAATTCTCAGCGTATAAACCCTTTTTATGGATAGAGAAATAATATCCTAACGCAAACAGCCCCCCTCCGATAATGCCAAAGCACCGGGTTAAGGAAAGAAATCAAACCAGGAAAAATTTGATTTTTAAATTCCCATCCCCAGGGGCCAACGCGAAGCCGCCGAGCGAGATGGGGCGCGGCCGCGACTGGAACGTCGACCTGATCCCGAAATTCCTGATGGCCAACGGGTCGCTGGTGAAGCTGCTCATCCACACCGGGGTCACCAGATACCTCGAGTTCAAGTCGATCGAGGGATCGTACGTCTACCGTGGTGGAAAGGTGGGTGGTGAAGATTTTCGATGCCTTTGATTTTCCGGAAACCCGTTTTTTTCAAATTTTGAGCTTAGCAAATCGGGAAATAGTTTTTATTATTGCGAAAAAGAAAAAGAAAAATTAAATTTTTATTTTTAGATTTACAAAGTACCCGCCGACGAGATGGAGGCCCTGTCGACGAGCTTGATGGGAATGTTTGAGAAGCGCCGTTTTAAGGTAATTTTTTCAGATAAAACTCTTTTTTTGCCTTTTTTTATCTAAAATCATAAACCGCCGTTTTCAGAAATTCCTCGTCTGGGTGCAGCAATTCGACGCGAACAACAAGGAAACCTGGCAGGAGCTCGACCCCAACACCAATACAATGCAACAGGTAGCACTTTCGGCGTAGCGAAACGACAAAGTTTCGACATTTTCGATATTTTTAACAAAAGTCGTTTATTGCGGTTCGGTAGAGCATTAAAAATTACGAAAAATTTTTATGTAAGACCTCAAAATAACGTAAGGTAAATTGGTTAAAACAAAAACCAAGGAACCTCTGAAATCGGTTGCAAATCTGTTTTGCGACAATTCCGCTATTTCCGCTACGGTATTTGTCGGCATTTTTAATAAACCATTCGATGGATCGTCAAAAAAATCTACGACAGGTTGTAATTTCGGCCCAAACAAACGTAAAATAAAAAAGTTACAGCAAAAAACAAGATATAGACGTCATTTCCGCAGGCATGAAAAGCTAATTTTCGACGTTTTCAATATTTTTTACCAAAAAAATTCTGTTACGCCATTCGATAGCGCGTCAAAAACTTTATTAAGTCTTTTAATTTCAGCCCAAAATAACTTAAAATAAAAAAAGTTATGGGAATAATAAGCAAAATTCGGTAAAACGGCGTAACATCAACTTTTACCTCACAAAAAACCTGCCATTTTCAGGTGTACGAGAAGTTTGGCCTGGACGAGAACACGGCCGATTTCACGGGACATGCCCTGGCGCTCTACCGCGATGATGAGTACGTTTTTATCAACTAAAAATGATAAAAAAACCATTTCAGGTACAAAAACCAACTCTTCGGGCCCACCGTCGAGAAAATCCGGCTGTACTCGGACTCGTTGGCTCGCTATGGAAAGTCGCCATACCTCTATCCGCTATATGGGCTCGGCGAATTGCCGCAGGTGCGTTTTTATCGAGATTTTTGGGCTAATTTTTACTCTGAAAATGTTGACAAATTATTACTGTAGAGTTTTCATAACATCGACATTTAATAGCGTCGAAATTTCATAAACATAAATTTTCATAAAGCCGAAATTTCATGTTGAGAAAATTGATTATATCGACTTTTGATTTATTTTTTAATTCAGGGCTTCGCGCGTCTCTCAGCCATCTACGGCGGCACGTACATGCTCGACAAGCAGGTCGACAACATTGTCTACGAGAACGGCAAGGCTATCGGCGTGAAATGCGGCGACGAGGTCGTCAAGGGCAAGCAGGTCGGGGGATTCTAGGCTACGTGAAGCTACCCTAACTATTTCAGATCTACTGCGACCCCTCGTACGCCCCGGAGAAGGTGACGAAGACCGGGCAAGTCGTACGCGCCATTTGCCTCCTCAACCACCCAATCCCCAACACCAACGACGTGCCTAGCTGCCAGATTATCATCCCGCAGAAGCAGGTCGGCCGCCATTACGGTAGGTGTCGTTACTAAAAGCCTATTTCCTTGCGTCGTTAGACATCTACGTGTCGCTGGTGTCGAACACGAATATGGTCTCCCCGAAGGGATGGTATATCGCGATGGTGTCGACGACGGTCGAGACCGGAAACCCGGAAGCAGAGGTGTTGCCAGGGCTTCAGTTGCTCGGCCCGATCACCGAAAAGTAGGCTTCGGAAGGGAGATCGAAAAATTGTTGATATGATTCTAGGTTCATCAGCATCACCGACGTCTACGAGCCGACCGACTTGGGCAAGGAGTCTCAGGTTAGCGGGTTTTTGGCATATTTGAGCAATTTTTCGTCAAGCCGAAGCTTGGGTCTAAAGCTTACGTTGAAGCCTAAGCCTAACCGGAAATTTAGGCCTAAACCTAATCTTAACTGAAGCCCAAGCCGAAGCCTAAGCCAAGCGTAAACCTTAGCCTAAGCCGAAGCTTAAGCCTAATCCTAAGCCGAGTCTATAAGTCTAAGCCGAAGCTAATGCTACGCCTAATCCTAAGTTGAAGCCTAAGCCTAAACGTAAGCCTAAGCCCAAGTCGAAGCCTAATTTTTTTTTTTTTTTTTTTTTTTTTTTTTTTTTTTTTTTTTTTTTTTTTTTTTTTTTTTTTTTTTTTTTTTTTTTTGCCACAAGCCTAAGCCCAAGCCATTTCCGCACTTCAGGTGTTCATCTCCCGATCCTACGACCCGACCTCACACTTCATGACGACGTGCACCGACGTGCTCGAGATGTTCGAGCGGGGCACCACCACCGAGTTCGACTTCAACAAGATCACCCACCTGTCGCTCGAGGACAACGAGTAAATGCGGGACAATTGATCATCACCGCCCAGACACAGCCCCCATCATGGCCAATTCTCCTCCTCCTTCTCCAGCCAGTATTTATCGCCCTCCATTTGTTACCGTAACCCCGACGCGTATCGCAAATCCCAACAAAAACCATTCCCCCGCATTGCAACCACAGCACCGCATTCCTTTGTGATTATTTTTGGGGTGCTTTTGCATTATCGGGGGGTTCAGGTAGGTAGTTCATTTTTGACCGCCCCCCTCCCCCCGATAATGCGAAAGAACCATTTTTTTGGTATTGTGATGGCTGGCCGGGGAAAACGTCGATTTTTGTATCCTTTCTTCGGGCCCAAACCCCCCGGCCGGCAATCCCCCGTCCGACCTGTCGCAGCTTCCGGTTTATGACATTTGTGTATCCGCCTCCCCCCTATCCACTTTTTAGCAGTCTACGCTAGTCGCGATACCCAACACACCCCCTCCAGCCACAATTCCCCCCACTGCGCGAGCTTGCTAAATAAACGTTTTTTTTATCGGATTTTGAACCGAGTGGCACTGAAATGGACAATTTTTGCAGGAATTTAGGGTGCGGTATATCGAAACGCTAAAATTGTTCGAATTTATTTGCATTCAGCACCTTGAAATAATTTTTGGCGTAATTTCCATCTGTCGAAAAGCATTTCTCGAAAATGGATCTTGTCGGTATTAATTCATCTTAAACAGGTGGAAATTGAAAAATTAGCGTATTGAAAAGCCCACACAACGATTTTTCGAAAACGTAGATTTCCACAAAATAATTTGCGCGAGAAAATCTTTTCGACACGATGATTTTCTCAACGAATTTTCGACATTCCAATTTTCCGCAAAATAAAATTTCGACAAAATGAAGGGCCGACAAGCTCGACAATTCAATTTTGACAAGACGGCCATCGACAAAGGATTTTCGGCATTTCAACTCCAATTTTCCGCAAAATGAGGTTTCGAAACCTGAAAATTTTGAAAAATTCGCTGCGGCATTCTACTACTCGGCATGATGAAAATAAGCCTTTGAAAATGAGCCCCGAGAGCGAGAAAGTCAATGATGAAAAGGGGATTACGAATTGAAAAGAACTGCCGCTGACCCGAAACCTGCCATTTGGGGATCGACGAGGGGCACTAATCAGAGGACGCCTAGAAGGGTGCAATTGTCCCTCATTTCAGACACACGAGAAGGGGGATCATCTCCCGCCTTCCATGACAACCGCCAAATCCGCTGGAGGCCGGCGAAAACATCCGAATGACACTTCCGCTATTAGGGGTTTTGCTAGGGATCGATGGAGATCTCGAGCAGGGGCTATGTTAGGATTTCCTACGTTCGCTTATAGCGGCTAAAAATGCGTTATCGCGTTTTTCCGGGCTGAAACCTGCGCTAATTTATGATTCATCCCTAGGGAAAGAAGCCCACCCAACTACCAGAATTTATAATGAAAGGACCCGGCTTTGAGTAGCTCTACTGTTATTAATATCTAGAAGTCTAGAGAGATGCTCTCGCTCTCTCGCTTTCTCCTTTTTGTCTCTTTCGCTCTGTCTCTTTTTCTCGCTGTCTCTCTCTCGCTCCCCCTTTCGCTATCTTTGTCTCTCGCTCTCTCTCCCTCTCTGTTTCTCTCACACTCCCTCGCTCTCTCTCTCCCTCACTCGCTCTCTCTCTGTTTCTCTCACTCGATCTCTCTCACTCACTCGCTCCCTCTCACCTTCTTACTGTTTCTCTCACTCTGACGCGCTCTCTCTTACTCACTCGCTCGCTCTCTCTTTCGCTCTCTCTCTGTTTCTCTCACGCTCACTAACTCTCTCTCACTCGCTCTCATGGTGCTCTTACTAACATACATGATCAGAATGGAACCATCGCCCCCGCTGTCATCCCGCGACCAGGGTTTCCACTCGGGCTCTCACGAATCAGTGGACATTGAGCCGAGTAAGTCTACTTACCAGTTCAAGCTACCACAGCGCTCTTACGATTTATCCACCAAACGACGCATTTTCAGAAGCCATGCTGACAGCGTTAGACTTGGAAGTTCCGGGCACGTCCCAGATTTCGCCCAGGGAACTGGTGGAAGGTGGGAAAACCTATCTTCTAAAGTCTTTTTGTCTAGAAGTCATCGAGGACAAAGAAAAAAGCCGGAGAAATGACTATATTCTGCCGAGAAAAAGGAATTATGTCACTGATGGGGACGACGAAGCGGAAGCGGACGATGCAGAAACCGATGGAGCGCAAAGACGACATTCCAACGACGGTGATGAACACGGAGAAACAAAACAGGTTCGTGAGGTTGTGCTGGAAATCGGGAAAATCCCATGCGAAGGAGTGCGGCCAATCGGTCCTGGTCGGGTCTGACGGAAACCAGCCGGAAATTGCGGGAGTTTCCTGGTCCTAGGGCCATTAGGGTCAACATATGCCACAACCGTTGTATAAAAATTATCGATTCAAGCTATCCAATATACTACTATTGTCAATCCCTCAAAATGCCGCGCTCAATGCCCGGCAAGATGCAGCGGTTGAGCATCGTCTCCGAGAAGCCCCTCTACGTGCTCGGGCTCAACGGGAAATTGGGGGTGCGAAAGCGGGGGAGCCTGTTAAAATCTCGACAACGAAAATAGCTGCTTAAAAAGCATTGGCACTTAAACTAGCATCGAAAATATGTCGGCATTTTGTTTGTCGGTATTTTGGCTGTTGGCATCGGATTTTGCTGCCGGAATATGTCGGGATTCTGGATGTCGGCATTTTGGCTGTCGGTGTTTTGGGCATCGGTAGTCTAGCTATCGCATCGTACTTCTGGTTGTCGGAATTATGGTTGTCGGGATTCAGGTTATAGGGATTTGGGCTGTCGGCATTTTGCGCGCCGGGGTTTTACGTGTCGGTATCTATCCGGATTTTGGCTGTCGGGATTTTTAGCTTGTCGAAATTTTGCATGTCGGGATTTTGGCTTGTCGATATTTTGAACTATTGGGATTTTGTCTTGTCGGGATTATTGGCTGGGGTTCGCGAGTAATGTCGGGGTTTCTACAGACCAAAATCCAAAGGCCAAAAATTCGTGAATGTCAAAAAAAAGATAATTTGTTTAGGACGTGAATAAACGCCGCCTCGAGCCGCAACCATCTCGACTGGACATCAACTCCGTGTCCGGGGATTCCAGGTATTTCTATTTTCTTACTCATCGTTGGCCACACTTTACTTTACCTCCAGCCGGAAGTTTCTGGCTATAACTTTTTTATTTTACATTATTGTAGGCTCAAATTAAAAACCTTAGTATATTTTTTGACGCTCTATCGAATGGCATTGCAAAAATCCCGACAAAATATGCGAAAATACCGAAAACTTTGAAACCCTTCGGCTGTGGGGGGGGGGGGAGTAAAGTCTTACCGAATCTTTTCCTAGGGATGCCCACGATATGGAAGGCGGTGGCGTGCGAGCTCGAAGTTTTTCCCGGCTGGCCCGGACCGTCATCGTAAGTGTCGGCCGGTATTCTGTATGTTTTTAGCTCGTCCGGAACTGGTTGGTCTCTGCTTCGGAGGAAGGAGACCAGAGAAGTGATGTCGATCCGTCGGCCGTTTTTGAATTGGCACCATCGGTAGCGTAATTTAGGAAGTTTATTGTAGCTTTTTAGGTAACGAGGAGTGAAGCGGAGGCAGCTGAAGCACCACCACCTCCTTCTGCGCCCGATATTCCTCCACCTCCACCTCCAAAGACTTTTCTCACCACAGCGTTAGACCATTTTTTGCAAGTTTTTAATAACTTTTGATCTTCTTGATTCTTCATATAAGAAATATAGAAATATTTAGAGCTGTCATCTACTTTACGATCAGTCCAAACAGCCGCGCCTATTATTTATGGACAACTGTCGTCAGTATTGGAGTACGATTTTCAGTGAAAAGTACCAAATTTATTAGATAGGAAAGGTTTTCACGATTACCAAAATGATTTAGGTTTTGTACAACATCGTTGCTCTGTCAATCTTCATTTTTGATGACATCTACTTTGGGTATTTCCGGGAATGGTTGCTGCTCAACCTGTTCTTCGATGCTGTCTTTATTTTTGACATTTTTATTCAATCACGGTAACTTTTCGTTAGCTAGGTATCTACGTATCTATCTGCATAGTACAACCTACCTCCTCGACGGGACACCGGTCACAAATATTCGAATGATTGCTAAAAACTATTTTTCTGGGTGCGTTTGGACGGAATTTCTTAAGTTTTTATAATTTCTTTTTCTACCTCTTCCCAGTTAGCTATAAAAGACGCACTAAAAATATTTTTCAAAGTTTGGTCTTTCTGCTAAAATGTATAAAACTGACCAAAAAGTGTAATTTTCCCCTTTTTAAAAACTGTAGCTTATAGCTATTGAAAACTACTAAAACACTATTAAAACGTTTTGTACTTATAACAGATTTCTATGCTATAACAGGCGGGGAAAAATTAGCTTTCCAATAATTTCCGGGTTCCGAGTAGGTGAAAAACTGTGAAAAAAAGCAAAAAAATTCAGGCAGCATTTATCCACGTCGTTTTAACGTAAACCACCTTTCCTATCTGCCTCCATTTAGCTCTCGTATTTGGCTAGATCTGAGCTGTTTGCTGCCGTTTGATCTTCTACTTCTCATCCAATCATCAGCCTCCATCGTCCGGGTCACTAGGCTATTAAAGGTATCTATTAACCTACAGGTTTTACGACGTAATTTCCCCTAGACTTATCGAGTTATGGAATTCCACGCGCTGACCGTCAAAGTGATCATGTTTCCGGCCGTTTTTCGGGTATAATTTTTGCTTACAGCCTGCTAAACGTCTCCAGATCATCTCCGTGGTCACCACCTGTTTTGTGCTGTTTCACTGGAACGCCTGTATCTATTTCCTGTTCTCGTTGATGCAGGGCATCGATAGTAAGGGCTTTGAAACTTTTAGATTTTGATTTTTGGTAAGACCTTACCCCCCCCCTCCCCCAGCCGAAGGGTCTCAAAGTTTTCGCTATTCTCGCTTATTTTGTTGGGATTTTTGCAACGCCATTCAATAGAGCGTCGAAAAATATACTAAGAGTTTTAATTTGAGCCTACAATAATGTAAAATAAAAAAGTTATAGCCAAAAACTTTCGGCTGGGGGGGGGGTAAAGTAAAGTGTAGCCTGATTTTTAGACGCAACCGACACGGGATTTGTCTTTTCCTACAAGAAGGTCTTCAACCCCGTGATCCCGACGTGTGATATTTTATTGGAGGTATGCCTTTCAACGATTTTCAAAGTTTTGGCAGCATTTTTCTGTAAAAAATAAACCTAGGATGCGGATGAGACCTGCGCGTACGATGAGAGCAAGTTCGACGCGCTCGATTTGGACCAAACGGAGCCGCTGGATAGGTAGAATTCGGCTTGTTTTCAAGATGTCGAAATTAGCGATTTCGAAATTCTATAATGTCGGCATTTCCTAATCCCGAAATGCTAAGAGTCCAAATTTCAAAATGTCGGTATTTCCAAATGGCGTAATTAGAGGATGTCAAAAATAGAATTTTCGAAATTCATGCCGAAATTTCCAAAATTCATAGTGTCAAGATTGGAAAATATCGGTATTTCCGAATGGCGTAATTCCATAATATCGGCATTTCATAATTCCGAAATTCATCTTGTCGGCATTTCGATTCGAATCCGAATTTCGGCCATCCAAAATGCCGACGTTAGGAAAGTTTATTCTTTTGTGTGTCGGGCATTGTGAATATTGGCATTCTGATAGGACAATGAAATAATGTAGCAATAAACGTAACTATGGTTAAAATTTGGCTCACTTTATTTATAAACCTCATAATTTTTAGGACCGTTTACATCGAAGAGTTGATGGAATATTGGCGGCAACGGGGGTTCGTTTCATGGCTATGAAGCTGTAAAAATACGTGTTTTTTCAGATACGTCGAATGGTCGTTCTCCAACTTCACGAAGGAGTACAGCATGAGCATCTACTGGTCCTCGTTGACAATCACGACATGTGGGCAGCAGGTTTTAGTTCGTGTCCTAACCACTAATCCCCAATTTTTAGCCTTGGCCCGAGAACTCGGCGCAGAACATGCTCGAGTGCGTGGATACCCTGCTGGGGTTGATGGTGTTCTCCGTGATTATTGGTGGGCCAAAAATCGGGCTTTTCAGTTTTTTATATTCAAAGCTTATTTTTCCGCAATTTCAATATTTTCTAAAATTGCTAAGTAAATGTCATTTTTCTCAGGTTCCGTGGGCAACGTGGTGTCGGTGATGAACAAGCAGAGGGCCGAGTATCAGGAGAAAATGGACGCCGTCAAGTTCTATATGAAATATCGGTAATTATAATCGCAAAATATAGAAAATGCCAGCATTCTAAAAATTTGCTAAATTCCAGCAAGGTGAACCCGGCCATCCAGGAGCGGGTGCTGAACTGCTTCGTCTACATGGCCTCCCAGAATCAGCTCACCGACGAGCGGGTAACAATTTAGTTTTAAAATACTTAAAGTTATGCAAAACAAATCCTAAATCGGGTTGCTAATTCGGTCCCCCCCCCGCTAACGAACCAGAACCCAAAATATCTTTAGGACATCCTAGAAGTGCTTCCGCCTCGGCTGACCGGGCAGATTGCCGTCAGCCTCCACATGGAGACGCTACAGAAGGTCGAGCTGTTCACGGTAGGCGGAGAATTTGGGCAAAATAATATTTGCCAGGAGTGCGAGGTTAACTTCCTGTACGAGCTGGTGCTCCGGCTTCAGCAGCACGTTTTCTCCCCGGGGGACTACATCTGCCGAACCGGCGACAGAGCGAAGGTATGCAAATTTAGCAGAGAGAGAGAGAGAGAGAGCGAGAGTGAGAGAGAGAGAGAGAGATAGAGAGCGTGTGAGATAGAGTGAATGAGAGAGCGCGAAAGCGAGTGAGAGCTTAAAATAAATCTCTAGGAAATGTTCATCCTGAAACGCGGCCAGCTATCCGTGATCGACGACGCCAACTCGGAGCAGGTCGTCGAGCTGGAGGTGCTCAACGAGGGGTCGACGTTCGGCGAATTGTCGGTGGTTCGGGTCGCCGGAAATATGCTTGGTAAGATGGTATCGGTTTCGGGAAATGGGCTTTTCATCTTCCAGGCGATCGACGCGCAGTTTCTGTTCGTTCGGTCGGCTTCTCGGACATCTACATCCTGGCCCAAGAAGACGTCTCAGCCGTGCTCGTCGATTACCCCACGATGCGAGACCATTTGTATGAAAAAGGTTGTTCCGGTTCTTACGTTGAGCATCAATTCTTAGCGCGCGAGATGCTGCGCGCGAAGCTGCTGCTCGACGAGACGGAGGTGGATGATGATCAGGGGTTGCTCGGGATGCTGACACTGCCCACCGACGAGCAACTGTC